TGTATTTATAATTGTGTTTTTTTTTACCTAGACATAAAAGATTTATAAAATATTTTACCTAATTGTCCCTGCTGTCTCTGGTAAAATTCAAGTTATATGCAGATAGCAAATAGGCTATTATGCTCAAAATGGACAGTTACATTTTTCATAGGTTAATGGACAAATTGACATAATTGTATGCACTAGCTGGAGAAATTCCACAGTTTCATGAAGTTTTATGGCTTTGTCTAAAAATAAATTTGACAATCTTGTCTAACTAAAACTTTAAATTGCTATTTTAAAGGCCTATTTGCCTTCTTTCTGTACAACAAAGATAGTAAGTATCTGTGTTATAAATCCCCGATTAAGGAGAATACCTTTACTGAAACTCATTTGTGAAGAAAAGCTTTGGAAACATCCGTTCTACAACAATAAGTTTCTGGGTGCAACCAGTGTGGTCTGAATGAACACTCAAGTCCGAAAACAGCACTGAGGGAGTAACTTGTGAAACCCAAGTGTAGTAAATGATTACAGCCAAGTACTCATCTCAAAGTTTTAAAGAGGAGCAAAGTGTGAAACACTAGACAAGGACATGTAAAAATACTAGTGGTTATGCACCAAATGTACATGCTAAGCTGGCATGCCTTTAAAGCAGTGGTACCATCATTACGACCATCGGTTCCTTAGATTTTATTCTTTAGCTATAGAGCTCACAATTTTGATTGTTCTAAAAAAAGTAAAAAGAAACCTTCACTTACTCTTTAAATTATCTTCATTTCACTGTACGTGGTAACGAAAGGGATGCACGTTTCAATAAGTCCCACAAGAAGTTTCCAGAACTCTCACAGAGAAATCAGAAGTAGGAATAGATGTGACCCCACCTTTACAACAACTACAAACTCCTTCCTTCCGCCTTAAATCCCTTCCCAGCAAGCCTTTCTGATTGACCTTGCTGAGTTTCAGCTGATGCCACCCTGCTGACTCCTTGTGCCTGTAGGATTTTATGCAAACACTTCTGGGGAGAAAAAGAGGCTGTGGGTAAATTATGCAGAAGGAGCTAGAGGCACAAAAACTTACAACTGAAATAGCCAGACTAGTAGAGGGAATTTCATCAAGGTTTGAATTTTTCTGAGAAGTCTGTGGTTTGGCAACTCTTCTCCCAATTTTTTTTTTCCAGAAATCACAGGCACCATCTGGTGGTAAACTTGTTTTCTCATCTGGGGAGAGAGGTATGTAAGGAAGATCCTAGAAAACTCTAAAGTCAATGGAACTAGCTCAGATCTCAGTCCTACAGACATATTTTCTGGTTGGCTACTAGATACCTCCACTTGGATATCCCCTAATTACCAGGATAATTCGGGATCCAAAAGGAAACAAATAGTATCCTCAAATTAATATAAAGTTCAAGTTATCTAAAACTGGAGGACTCTAAAAGTATTTGATTGAGGGAGTCTTTACACAGGTGTAGGTAGTTGTAGAACACCAGAACACCAGGAGGGGTAATGCTGTAACTCAGGAACTCAAGACTAGTAACAGCTGAGTTACTCATTAATACTGCTAATGCTGAAGGGAAAAGGAAATGTTTCTGGAACACAGAAGGAGAGATTCATATAGAATACGCCACACTGATAGAAACTGTGACATTCTGTCAAGGGAGGCAGCCAGCCCAAGGTAGGCCTTTATGGAGGGATTCAGGGGAATATCTCCTCCCATCTTCTCACTATTGTCTGAACCCAACTGGAGGCTGGAGGACAAGAGAACCTATATTTCATACAGGTCAGCCTCCTGGAGTATATACAAGGGGAACAAAGGGAAGAACAGATCTGAAGGTAGCTGCCATACTGCCTTTTCCCATTCCAAGTTCATCTTCCCCCTATGTGAACTGATTTTCTAGAGAGTGCCATAGTTTACCCAATGGCACAACAAACCAGAAGGCTACTCTTAATCTCTGTTCCTACCATGATCTCTACAACATTCTTCTCGCAAACATTTCATCCCGACTTGCTATCCATTCTATTTATGAAACATTTATGCACATGCTGCTCTCTCCCGTCACTGCTACTTCCCTTTAACATCACTTTACTGACACCTGAGCCTGTCATTTGTTTTTCCTTCAGCTTATCATTTCTTAGTTGTATATAGCACCTTTACAAACTACTGTCTTTATTTGTATGTTTTTCAAATTTCCAAGAAGACTTTGTTCAGAACTCTATCTCCAGTGCCTAGTACAATGCTGGTATATAGTACATGTTCAGTAAATATGTGTTGAAC